CTTTCTGATTAATAATGAACATATTGGTTCGAAAAAAATGTTTAAACACGTCCTGCATCGATATTTCAATAATTGTTCCATCCCGGGATTATTCCGGGATCAAAAATCGATCCCGGGATTGAAAAATCGTTGGGATTTTGCGAACCCTAGCCTCGACTCGGTGAATAACCGATATCGGTTATGACCAAAATCCCGACAGAAACTTGGACTTATAATCACTGATCGGTTTATGACCATTTTCGATCAAGCATATGAAATCTTTCATCACCGTTTTAAGCCAAATCAAACATAAAAGCGTGTTCCTGATAGGATTTCAATCGCTTCTTACAATTAATAGATTTCGGCACAATGAAACAACTATCTAGTGTTTTAGTTGGTTTTGACGCTCAACATCAGGATTTTAGATTTTGAATTGGATTTTCTCTTATTAAACTGATGCGCTTTTATTATACTGTAAGAAAAGCAGCGAATCAATTCAATTCGGTTCAAATCAGTGTTTGTGAAAGGGTATTTGAGACATCGAAAACGATACTGGAGAGATCCTTAAGTTTCTAATTGCAAGGAACGCATCGATGCAGGTGGTTATCGAATAGGTTTCAGTTATGATCACATTCCAGTGGTGAATTTCCAAAGATGCTGAAGGCTGACTATGAAGTAACCTCTCTATTCCATAAATAAGAAGTAAGCACTATTTCATGAATTGCTAATGGAAACGACTCTGATTCTGACCAAGTATACATTTCCCGTTCCCTGATCGTGCTATTAACTTTAGGAACAGTTCTGTTGTTATTGTGCGATACAAATTAAAATTTTTATGACCTCGAATTGGGTCTGATAGAAGGAACTAATTCATATTACACTGATTACAGTGGACAAAAACGTGCTTCGGTTCACGACCCACTCAGATCAAGAACAAACTTTTCCCAGAAACACGAAGGAGTATTCTGAAGCTAGGCTTTATCGAAGGAACGGGACTACGGAGGTCTTAATCTACTTTAATATTTTACAAGGTCCGATATTTTTTTTCAAGGTCCGACACTCAGAGTCCCTAAAACTTTTAGTGTTTGTCTTGTTTACATTTTCTTATTTACCTCTTTCAGGGATTTAAATGCAGTGATGTCTAGTTTGAAAAAATGACTCAGCTCGGCATTTTTAAATTCCGGCTCCAGCCGCAGCTCCGTGTTTTCAAATTTTGGCTTCGTCTTCGGATCTGGAACAACCGGGATCCACAGAAAAGCTATCCTGCCGGAGCCAAAAAGAATTTTTATCCCCGGAGCTTAGGCATCACTAGTCCAATGCTGCATTTAGACTGAGCAGAACATGTTGACCTCCTCGCTCGCCGTTTATCCGTTCTTCATCTTGCTCTCGTATACTTCCCTGTTTGTGTTGCTCTCTGTGTGTTGCTTATTGTGAGTCAGTTATGTTTTCATACGTAATTAAACATTCGTAATTCCGGATTGGCGTCGTGAGAACTGGTTTACTGCGATGAATATTGTTTATTGATTGTGATGTGCGTATTCGTTGCGTGTACGAATGGCTGCAGTATAACGTTGAATTAGCTCACAGTGGCTTCGTTTCATTCAACATCAAGTTTTGAGATTTTTGAACTCTTGTTGATGCGCTTAAGCGTGCAGAAATGAAAAAATATCGCATGTATAATCTCGCAATAAATAAACATTCCCACTGGAAACATCATCAAGTGAACCTCAATCGCATTTATTATTTACTGCGTTTTTGTAGTTAATGCATTTTTAATGTCGTTATCGTTGTTCTGATCGAAAGAAAACAGTCTTTTTAAATGATCTTTTTAAGTTGTAACTGGTACCGTCAAGTAGCAGAACCTTATCACATATGTTTCTATTTAGAGACGCTAGGTGATAAAAATTTTATCAGTTAATATTTGATTAATGTGTGAAAGAGGTGGGACCAATAAGTGATGATGAAGAACATGTGTATTATCAGATCAGCTGAAGTTACTCTGATAAAACATCAATAAAAGACTGACGTTGTTTCAGTCGCATTTACTACTGCAGTTATTCAAAGCAACCACCTTAACGTGTTCCTTCTCAAATGGGACATTCGATGACAATCCGTATTGTATGGGCCGTTATTGGTATATCAGCTGGTATCATGGCTGGCGCTGTGTTCGGAGCAATGTATCACGTTCGTTTTAATTCTTTTGTCTATCTTATCATTCTCGTATAAGATGCTTATGCAATGAACTCGACGGAGCATATTTTGTTGAATATAAGTACAACACAACTTGCGGTGGTATTTTGGTTAAAACATCTTATTATGTAGCCATGCTACTTTCATTAACTGATTCAGAGGTATTGGTTCGTGTTATGAATAGTTATCGTTATTCACTTGCAGAATTGGAGCGCGACAATATTAGCATTTTTGAGCTCGGTATCAGCCACATACTTACTTCTATTGCATTTACGCTATAGAAAGGGCTATTTTGAACATTGTTCCAGGACTTCAGTTATGCTTTCTTTTGTCATCAGTAAGTTATTTGTGTATTATTTGTTGGAATGCTTGAAAATCTCGCAATCCTATGGGATCTTTCAAGAATTCAGTTCGTGTCCGTTTCAAGTTTAGTCATGAAGTTAGAATTTAGTTTCAAGACTCATGAAAATTATATTAAAAATCTAAAATATAAAAATTATGTTAAATCGAAAATAAACTTACTTCTTTGATGCATATTCCTTCATTCATTCACGCATCATTTTGCACTTCGCAATTTAATCGGATCATTTCTTTAAAGGAAGTGCGTCGATGGTGATTTGATTTCAATTTAGCAATATATGCTTATTTAAGCGATTATATGAATATTGCAGTTGAAATATGCTAAAAAAGTCAAATTAAGATGTGGTCTGGTGTGCTTTATCATTAATTGGAATGGTTGTGTGTTTAACACTTGCNCTGACACATGAAGGATTGATGCATGAGAACTTATGGATAACGGCAGTATGGTGCTGGATGAATGCGAAATGGAGTATGATGAATGCATTGTACAGTCGCAGATATTCATCTGAAGTATGTACTCCTTTATTAACACCCAAAAGGCGCATCTCATCTGACGATGTCAACGTCTTTTAGAGTTTCAATTGTTGTCTAACATTTCTCGAGGATACATCTCAGAAATATTCTCCCAGCAAGTATTTTTGCCACCGTAATGGGAGTTTTTTCGTTTAGTTGGAATTTATTAGCTGATCTGTATTTTTGATCAAAGAAAAGCAATGAAGCATGCTGTTAATGAAAAGTTTCTGAATTTATTTCTTTTTTTCAAAACTTATTCGAACTACTCTTGGATTTGATGTAAATAAGTTGTTGATGACTGCTGCTTTAGAGTAATGTAACAATATTACCATGCAGCTACATCAGTTAGAAATGCTACTAAATGCAAACAGTATCAGCAGTAGTAGTATTGAAATATCTACATTTTCAACGAATCATTGCAAGTGTTCAGTTATGATGTTGGTATTCGAAGTAGTTATAGCATGCAAACTCTAGTGATTTTATGCGCTGTTGGGTTGTTCATTTGAAACGATAACAGTAACAGTTTTATTGCAATGGAGTTAATCCGTACTTTAAATGCTACTCAGTTTTCGAACGAATTCAATGACATAATACGTTTTAAACATCATAACTGAATACTATCACATTCAGGCATTGTAAATTTCATCTTTAATTTTTGGTACAATTTTGACTGTAAATAAAAATTTGAATGTTTTCCACCAACTGTTGTTAAATATTGATTGTAAGAAACGAAATTTGTCGTTGAGATTTTTCTCGTACTGTGAATAGCAATTGTCCAAATGAAATTAATCTCCCGAATAAATTTAATTAATAAAAATGACCACAAACGTTTTGTTTTTCTCTAATAAACGACAAATTTTGTTTCCTTCAGGTGCACCAAGGAATCTACTCGTAAATAAAGCAAATTTGCATCGAACGTGTACGTGTCACATCGCAAAATGAAATGTTAAATTGCTTATCAACTGCAGTGCAAAATGTAACATGTAATATTCGAATCTGATAATGGTGCTGTGAAAGGTGTTATTCTTATTGATTGTTTTATACACCTTCAGTAGGAATATTCATTTATTGCTAAACCTCAGGGATTTACAATGGATAACATAATAAACAAATATACTTATGTATATTTGTGAAAACAGCAAAATTCATTTGCGAACGGTTTTGTATGTGCATTTTTGACTGCTAAAAAAGATTAAATGTTGCCATTAGATGCGGATACCTCAACGATGAAGGTGATGTTCCTGATTGTTGCTTTCACTAGCTGTATTTATCCTGTCTTTTTTCACTTGTTATACCTATTTATTCACAGTAATAAATCACTCCTCAATGGATGTTTCTCGATTTGATCTTCTCTCGACAGTGCAAAAATATATTNNGAGTGAGCTTTATAGTTGGTAAGCGCTATTTTACAGTTGATTTTATACTTGATTAATGCAACATTGCATTATTTAAATTATTCCAAATAATCAAGTAATGAATGATCCTGAATGAATAAAAAAATAGCAACATAGTATGGCTCAACTTGATATTAATCAACTCACGATCATAATATACCGAAATATTTTCATTTGTTGGAATCTGTTTGATAAGCTTGAAGAAAGCAATGATTCAGTTTGAAATGAGAAACAATTCGCTAATTCTCCGAGATAAGGAATCCGGCCAGTTGAATTTCTTGTGGATATGAAGTACGGATTGAACGCAGTATTTCGTTGTCAATCGCCAAATTTTGATCACAAATCTCCAACTTTCGGCGCACCTTGAATCGTTCACCCTCCAGTTTCTTACGACTTTCACGAGCTCGATCTGCGATTGACATCGGTTCTTTATTATTTTTTGAAATGTAGACATTATGACACTAATTCTATATGTGTTAATGAACACAAGCGTTGATTGGCAGCTATCGAATGATAAGCTGATTTGAGCTGGAAGATCGGGAAGGAAAACTTATTTTTGCTTTGTTGTTTTTGACGTAGCTAACTGAGGAAGTGAATNATTGCCGTTTTATCGACTGATTTCATCATAATTTCATCATCTCATTCAATCGACAAATAAACAGTAAATAACACGTTCTTATCATCGCCACACTTTTTATCAGCCAATCTGACGCTAGTTGAATGCGATCACTTTATAGTGACGATCACTCATAGAACGATCACTCACATTCGAATTTATTACTTCAGAATCGAATTGCCTGATCAATTCTAATTGATAGATCATAAAATAACCTAATTGATGCATAGCAATTGTAAAATTGAATGAAGTTAAAGAATGACATGATACGAATTATAAATAACCTAATTGATGCTCTAAGGAAAGAAGACTTGATTTGAGGTTCATGAGTTCAGCGTGTAACGCATGTTGTGCCTTATCATTACACAGTTCTATACCCGGTCTTAAACCACGCTGCGTTTGGCGGCTTAAAGCAACCTTAATAATTTGATACGGTCATTCTTAATTTTATACTATCCACTGCTGCTAACATTGCTACATATCGTTGTTTCTATAAGACATTTTGATAATTTTATTGCCGTTTTTATCAATGCTGCTACTGCTACATTCAATCCATGCCATTAAGCATGAAAATTACATCAGCCTATCTGAGACTCCATCATATTTGGCGTTAAAAATAAAACAATTTGTTTTTTTTTTTGAAATTTGATACTTTCGGGCATTTGATAAACGTTTTAATTCTGAACGTTTTGATTCTGAACAAACGTTTCAATCCATTCCAAAATATAATGAATAAAAATTGCAGTGGATGTATCAGTCTTCACAGATTTTATAGTGAAATAAACAATATTTATCTGATAAAAATATTCAAGTAAAAGAACAGTGCATACATACCTGTAAAGGCGATCCTTTCTGTTTTAACGCTAGCTGAATTTCGTTAATCGCAATGTCGGCCGTTTTTACTTCTTTATCTTTACCAATAACCTTTAGAGCTCAATGAATATTATAAGTATTTGATTAAGATAACTGAATTCTCTAGTTTGCATGTATAACGAGTTTGACGATGGTTAAACAGTGCGCACAGAAACGTCATTCAGTGATTTTATCGTGAATGATATTTTACGTAAATGATTGAATAAAATCTTGTTGAATAAAATCTTGTACTTTCTCACATCGCAGAACAAGCCGTTTCAAATACGTATAATCTTCAATCGTTAAAGAACGCTATTGTGCGAATCGTCAGTAATNAATGAATGAATGAATGAAATGGGTAAATGAGAAATACAGATGGTAATGCTGACAATAAATGCAATGAAATGAAACTAACCTGTGTCAATTTCCTCGAGTGAACTCTTGCTCTAGCTGACTGGTTTAAATTGATAGCAGTGTTTTCAACCCATTCTGGATATTCGCTCATTCGATTCAATGGTGCTCCGTCCCTGTATTCTAGTCTTTCGCCGTCCGGTGTTGTTGTAGACGTTGCCAATTTGTGATCAGTGCCCATCGAAGCTGATCTGTTATCCAGAGCAATTGCTTCTTGTTTCAATGTCCAGTCTCGCATCAACGCTTTTTTCGCTGCTGAAGTCATACTTTGCTGTCGTTTGTTTCATCAAACGATGAATGGTTTCTGTGCAAGCATGAATACATATCGAAGGGTTATCGGCAAAGTTCGATTACCTTCGTTAGTATCGAGTTGCTTTTCAACGTAAGCCGAAAGTTGTTTCAATTGTTTATTGCAATCCGTGAGCAAATCTTTCTCTTTGTGCAGTTCTATATCAACACGATCATTTACAGTATCGCCGATCTGTGCAAAATATNAAAACTATAAGTAAGGAATCGGATTCGATCCTGAGACCAGTTCAAGCGATGCTCGTGCCTATCGGTAACTTCTCGTATCCGATCAAGTTATTACTTCCACCAGAAAGTTATTACAAAATGACGGTAACAAATATTATGATGAATGTTTCCTATAAGTGATGTGTATCGTTGAAGAGCAAAAAGCAGCAAGATTGAGTGTCCAATTACCTGTACTTTCTTTCGTCTGATAGCAAGACATGTTTCATTGCATTTGGCTGCACCAGCAGTTGATTGAATGCATCGATTGAGACGTTTGAAGCATCGACTCAGATCTTGATTCTCCTCGTTCAGATCTTGTGATTCTCTGTTTCATTATTTTATTATTCACATATCATCCGCATTTCCACTGTCATTGTTCTATTTGATGCAAAAATGTTTAACAATAAGATAAAAAATTGTGAAAGCATGAAATTGTGATGATCTCATCGTTGTACGATGAATGAGGATAACGGTAAGCAACTTTGATAGTGTGTAACGATAAATCATGATGATAACAATAATAATGAACAACGATTTGTTAAAATTATGAAGGCACGAAACTGCAAAAAGCATGAAACATCATTATGCAATCCGCAGCAGACAATA